GAGGATTGAAAGTCAACTCTTTTATTTTTTAACCGATCCTTTTGAAATTTACACAACCGATAGAAAATTGGAAAATAAACCAGTTTGTACATAGGTGTAAAATTGGTAGGACTATTATTTAACGCGTTAACTTGGTTGCAAAAAGTTCGGAGACGTACAACGGTTATTCGAGAGTTCCTAGACCACCTATAAACTACCTGGATACTTTTGATTTCATCGTGCATCATTCAATCCTCATTTTCCCAAGTATTTTGTCCCCGTCAGTAGGACATTTTCCCGAGATTGAATCAGAGTCTCACTCACGGGGACAATTGACCGACTCACGGGGACAATTGACCGTCTCACGGCGACAAAATTCGGGGAATTTGAGGATTGAACGCGGGTATTCATTTTTTATCGACGCCGTCTTCGGGCTTGACCTTCCCTGGTCCTCAGTAACGTAAAAATAATTTATCCTAGGATTTACAAAAAAAAATTTGGTGTGTAGCATTGCGTGTATCCGGTGCCAATTTTTTTTTAAAAATAATTTAGGGAGTTCAAGGAATTTCATCCCGTCCGCCAGCAGCGGTGTTCTCGAGCAATATCCGAACATTTCGCTACCCGAATCGCCGTCGTCGTTCGCAGCGCTAGTGTCGCGGTATATACTAGTACACTGTCCCTATCATTTGACAAATATAATTTTTCGTTACTTACCGAACATCTCTCCCTTGCACATCGAAATAATTAATAATTTGAGCTCATGACGGGGACCATTGTTCTTCTGTTTTTGGCGTTCCGACCGTGAGCATTGCGTTAAGTGTTTTTCTTCGCGTTTATTTTCATTACTTTTGTATTTAAAAACATTTCAAGTAAGTTTAACTGTCTCTTAAACTATAATTGAATATTTTTTTATCCTTTCAACGCTGATCGCTCGCATGTAGCGGATTACTCTCAACGGGGTATCCGTGATCGCGTGGATGAAAGCGGTAGGTATAATAGATATAAGTATTAAAAGAGTGATATTTATATTTGCATTGTCTTGATGACAATATGTCAATATGTCAGCGCTTGATTAATTGGCCGAAACTTGAAATTTTAAAGTTTAGGAACCCTTACGTATCATAATACTCATAACGATAAACCTATGGTTTATTTTGAGGTATAATAGTCTATATTATGGTATATATAATATCTTATATGGTGGGTTTTAAAATTGTTTACTGTATGCGTCTTTATCTACGCAGAAAATATTATTTCATAGATATAGATAATATTATCTAATCTGTCATCTGATATCATGCTGCAATAGTTGGTCCGATTTGTTAGAAATATTACGGTATTGAGTACTGAGTAGTGCTAGTGATCACCGATCAGTGGATAGGGTTTGATGTGTTTTAACTACAGTAATGTCTGCACAATTAATTACGAGTAAACGCGAAAAACCACAAATTGTGATTGATAATTTTAAATTTAGTAAGGCGTAATATGAAGGAGTAAATAAAATTCATTGGAGATGCATTAACAAAGTATGTGATGCAAAAGTATATACAAAAAAAAATTTTGACAATGAAGTATTGTACACGGAAAATGAACACCATCACGAAGCTGTTAATGAAAATAACATAAATCGGCAAATTGTTAATACCTCGTGCAAAAGGAGATGCAAATATTATATATACTTATATTATATATATTTAATTTTATTTCAACGATGTTTCAGTTTTTTACAATGTGATTTCAGTTTCAAGTTTTGGCCAATTAATCAAGCGCTGACATATTGTCATCAAGACAGTGCAAATATAAATATCATTTTTTTAATACTTATATCTATTATACCTACCTAATAAGTGTTATGATAAAATTATATTTTTTGACTTATTTTGTCGGTACACTAATATCATTATTCATTACTAATATAATATAATAAGTAATAACTGGAAAAAATATTATTATTTTTTAACTCTATAGTGTGCAATTATTAAATCTTTAGGGTTCCTAAACTTTAAAATTCAATAATTTATAATTGGCGGAAAAAGGAATGACGTTTTTTCTGATTTGGCGGAAAACGGAAAGGTAATTTTTGGCGGAAACCGGTGACACCCAAGAAAACAACGAAGTCGGACCGTCGTCATCCGGTGATGGTGTACCTGACAGAGAAGACATCGAAGTTGGACCGTCGACATCCGGCGATGGTGTACCTGACAGAGAACATGGTTCAGGACTTCAGACGGTACCCAAAGGTAACATAAATGAATGCAATTAACATAGAGATTTGTAATTTACTGTTTTTATTCTGATTAGTAGTGCCAAGTTCAGAGGTAAAAAAGTGAAATAGGTCACAAGGATGGTAGAGATTCACCGGTGCTCTGCGTATTACCCCAAAGGATATATTCAACCTAAATCCAATGACGTCGATGAAGATTACGACGATGCATATCAGGAAGACACAGAGGTTGTGGTCAATTATAATGTTGCCGAGGTTGAAGAAAATCCACTTGAAAATGTCCACTACCGTTTGGTCGATGACGTTGATGACGAAGTTTTCGACCTGGCTAATCTGAACAGTCTGAATATTTATTCGACACCTTCAACCAACGAATGGGAATTTAACGACGATGACGAAGGTAAATATTTTTTCGATGAATTTTCCCGGTATATGTGTAATATTTTATCATTGCAGACAATGAAATCGAGGAGTATATTCCGATTAAACGAAAAATATCGGTGGCATCAGAAATGGTTTGGTCGTCCAAAACACCGTCTCCTAAAACCGACGATAAACCGATGAAATCTCCGTTGTATAAAAACTCGCCGGTGCCGTCCGCTTCAGGATCCCACAAACAATCGAAGATGACGGATCTACAGGCCGACAAGAGTCGGATCGGAAGATGGTACGCCTATTTTTCTCATGGTTATACGATTGTTAGCTAATACTTTTTACTTTTTGTTGCAGCCTTGATCGTTGGTTCTCCGGATTATTCGGAAGGTTCTTCGATTGTGAGCAGTGAGTATTCTGCACCACCATGCTTTGCCTATCTTCACTTGTAATTATTTATTAATTTTTTTTTTTTAAGACCCAAGTCCATTGACAATCGGTAAAGAACGTAACCACAATATTTTCAGCTATGAATTTGTCAATACGATCAGCGGCCGTGTAAGTTATATATTTTATAATTCGTTTGCATGCCGATTACTTAACTGAATCTAACCAAACCTTCCATAGCTTTTGAAGTATTGTCCAATTTGCCGGTTCGCGACCCAAGACAATAAAATGTCTCGGCACATTCAGACCCTTCACGAACGTCTAATCCGGCAACCAATTAAACAAAGCCTAAAAGCTATAGGCCAGATCTTCGGTGGTGAATCGAGAAGATCAGTTTCGTTGGTGCCGATGCGATTAATTAAAGAAAAACTCGGCCCATATTGGGATGACGTTAATTATAGAAAAATCGCTTACCACTAAGTATACAATAATTATGTATTTTGTTCGTCATTTACATTATTATATTGTCATTAATATTTATGATAATATTTGAAATTTTAGGCTTTGCATAATGGGATGACTAAAAGTATACGGTGGATCATGGGACTTGCGCAAGGCTCCGGTCGTAAAGAGCACATTTTGCAAGTTTTTAAACTACGATACAGATTCACAAGACATTGTACAAACGACCCCTGCGGTGAAACGGGTGTGAAGCCCTACTACGTTGCCGCCAGATAATTTAGAATCTCCGTGAGTATTTGACGACGACGAGATTTGTCGACAAAAGAAATTAATTAGTTTTATAACCTTATTATTAGTTGTTGTTTAGGAGGAGTAAAAAATTCAGGCAGATGTTAGTACAGAGCGGATATCAGGATCAAATAGACAGCAATCACCCGCTACTGGTACTTCACCGCCGAAGTCTTGAGTTGAGTCACGGAAAAGACTCGAGGACGATGAAAAATTATTTGTCGAACGTCGCAAAAATGCTGTACCACGTAAACGTTCGGTGTAAAGAAAAACATAATAAAACACCAAAACATTCTTCGGAACTACTGGCGACCAGCGTGGAGCCGTTCCACGAGTTTCTGGAAAAGTGAGCTTAACTTGCGACGAATCCGTTATAATCTTATAAATAAATGCGTTTGGTTTCCATAGGCGAGAAGAAATCGGGCAGACGATTAGCACGTCGATCAATTACCTGAAGAATTTCTTGTATCTCTTCGACCAGGCCATAACAACATATTCGCTCGAGGACAAGTCGTTCCCGAGAGAATTTGATTATACACCCTCCACCAACATCATAAACCGTATGAGACTGGTCAGACAGAAACTCGGTCTCTTCTATAAAAACAAATTGAAACTCATGCCAGGAAAGATCTTCGAAAGAAAAATAAAAGAAGCAAACACAATGCCGGAGTACGGGGAAGTGGTAGAAATCATCAACGATATAAACGACGAGATACCATTATTACTTGATCGGCTGGAGGATTATGTTCGGGAAAGTCTGTACTTGGACTTTTCGTCCTCGGACCCGATCAATACACTCGTAAGTTATCTATCACGACCCATGTATTAAAATATCTAATTTGATGATAAAACTACTTTTCAGCTGAGTGGACTGTGGAGAAAGGTAACCTGTGGCTTGGCCATAAGTATACTGTGGAGCTCCAAACACAGGAGCGGCGTGGTGTCGAACTCGACACTTATGGAGTGGAAGGGGCGGCGGCGTGATGGCACGAGAATCGTCATCACCGTTGCCAAACACAAGACCGGTGATAGGGAACCGGCGATGATTGTTATGGATTCAAAAATGGCCAACCAAATGGAAAGGTAATCATAATGTATCCGCATTTTTTTTTATATACTCATCCGACCGTTAAACTGTGTTGTTAACAGATAACATGAGCTCCGCAGAAAGATCAGAACCAAAGAGACGACGTTTTTCATTACGAACCGCGGGGGGCGGCTCCTCAAAATCTATGACGAAATAAACAAAATTCATCACGCCAATTTTTCAGCGTGTCTCTTCCGAAGAATGATACAAACAAATTCCCGGGGCCACGATCAATGTATAAGGAGTGGTGTAGCGAAGACGCTACAACACTCCGAAGAGACGGCATTAAAATTCTACCAGGTGCCAGGCACCGACGAGGCCCTGAGGATAGATACGGCCGATCAGACAGCGAGGTTTGAGGAGGAGGTGATGAAGGAGTAAGTCCCTGAACGATTTTAACCGAAACGCACAATATTTACGACATTTTTCCTCGTTCCAGGTTCGACGATATATTCGCCCCGGAACCCTACATCAACCTGAACAACGGCGCACAGGTGCGAGAAAAATTGATAGAATCGACGGCGTACACAATGCACCCGACGGCCGTGATAAGTGACGGATTTATCAAAAAAATTCAAAGACAATTCAACCGGTCTGTGCTGGACAGCCGGGTCGATATAATATACGAATACGCCGTCCAATACCACACCGCCGATAACATAGACAAACGGACGTTGACGGACTTGACGAGAGAGAAAAAAATACATTTCGTTACACAGGATATCGACGTGGTAGGTACTATCGAAATTAAAACGGAAACTCCTCGAACTTCGTAGCCACCAGTGAACAATATAGTGGATTTTACTGTTTACTCGAAACAGCAATAAACCGGCCAGCGTCAGGCATGATGCCAATCAAATAAAACAGTCCGTTTCCGGACAGTGGATTAGGCCTCTCGGGGATACCACTTTAAAAAAAAAACGCATCATGTGCTATACCTCTTTGTGATGTGGAAATTAGCAAACAATCGACGTCAAATTTGAAATGCACGGCTCTACAATATTATTAATCAATGGTCCCCGTAGCCGACGTTTTTTGACCGACTAAGACTGAGTCGAACGACCTTACTTACAGAGTAGTTGACGCTGGATACCGAAAAAAATAACGTAGTGGTAAGAGTTACCAGGTAGATAGGCAACACGAGGTTGGGTAGTATGGAAATTCAGCTAATACCAGGATTACGTTGAATCGTTTCAGCGTCTTGGGGCTTGAATTTGTCTCGTCCAATATTTTCGGAATACGTGAAAAAGAGTGATTTTTCTATTATGGTAATATTTTCTCACTGTGCCTATCTAATATCTAGCGCGACCAAAGCCAAGCGAACGGGCGTAAATATTATACCGTCGATGACAAAAATTTTCGAAAAAATATACCGTCCCCCGGTCGATACGGCCGATTACCCGGCGGCTCCACGTAGATCGTCCACCGTGTCCCCTGGAACGACGCCGGGGAGAAGGTCAATGACCTAACGATTGGTTGTGGTTTCGCTAGAAAATATATTTCAGTCGTTGTCGGTATAAAACTTGCACAAATTCGCTTGGCTTTGGTCGAGCTAGATAGTAGATAGGGTCATTGATTAACCGGCTGTGTGACGGGGGTAAGCGACGCCAGTACACGGCGGTCTCTCAAACCTTTAGCCATCTTTACCGCGCCCGACTCGTCCGCGCCTTAGCGGCGCAATCGTCATCCCTCGCTGGGGGGTGCGTCTGGGCGCCCGAGCGCCAGGCAGACGGCCCGAAGCATGCCTACTTCAAGGCATATTATGGGTATCGCCGAATGCGCCAGCGGCGGCAGGTTTTTAATCTACTCAAGCGAACCCCCTTCTACTAAAGCGCTACTTCCACACCCTCCGCGGTTCCATCCACATAAGCCACGGACGCGCGGCAGTCGCGCGTGCGCGGGAACAATCACTCGCTCGCCCGGCTGCCGGACGCGCGTGCCCTAGTTACCGGAGTGCTGTTTTTACCAGCAGGGCTCTCTCCGGTTCCCGCGAAATGAGATTTCGGGCTCCGTATCCCAGGTACTCACAACGACCTAATTCCCACAAGCACGATATCGAGGCGGGAATCCGCAGGATTTACAACCGCCGCGATCCGCCTTTCTGTGCGGTACGGTTTACTGCGCGGGTGGCCGTTCCCGCACCGGGTAATTTCGCCCGGATTTTCGGTGACTGATAGTAGACGACTGGTTTTTGCCCACTACTAGCACCAGTTCGCTCGCATCTCCTGGATGCGGGCTCTCGATCGAGTTTTCAGTGAGAATGAACCGGCGTGTGATCGGAGGTCCGCGGACGGGTCTTGTATGAGGTACCCGCCCGCGGTTGCTTTGCCCGATCCTTCCAGTTTCATTCCCATTTTAACGTATTCATCGGTATGTCGCAAGGTTAATGGATTACTACCTTTTTATTCTCGTTGCGTCCCCATTAATCCTCACTCGGGTTTATGTATCTCGTGCGGACTAGAAGGGTTATCCCTCTTTCCCTCGGCCGCTGTACGTAGGTACAGGGCCCCGAATTGATTTACTTTTATCACCAATTACGACTACCAAGCTAACCCTGCATAAGCGCGCCAGTGTATTCTTAGCGAATTCACTAACCGCCCGGAACATGGCTTCGGCACTCGTCATGAACTCTAACTCACACGGCCAGTCCGCACGGCCGCTCGCACGGTGTAGTTTGAGTTTTCTCTTTCCTGGCCTGCAAGTGAGCAATCCATAAGCAGATGCTCCGCAGTTCCGCTGGGGAAACCGCATGCGCAAGCTGCATCACCTACAAGGTTAAAGTCGTGGAGTTTTTGATTTGAAATCCCCGTGGCCGGACAGCAGCTGGGACGTGTAATGATCCATTCAGCACCACCCACGACCCATCCGGCGTCCGACATCGGCGAACCATCGCGCGGTCCACCTACCCTTGGGCTCGCGACCCACTTGCTCTGCCGGAGGAATCCACTATTTCGTCCGGGGTCCGAGTGGTCCCCGCTTTCCTTCGTCTTTTCCTTTTCCAATACGTAAGACGGCCTGAGCCGTCGTCGGTTACCGGGGGCGACACGAGTAGTATATATTTGTATGTTCACAGCCAGCTTTTCCAGGGAAAAAAAAAAGTTCAAGGGGGGAATGTCCCCTTCGAACACTCAGATTTACCGTGTAACACAATTTCACACTGATTGACTACCAAATTTCGTCTCACGCAAAAAAAAATATTTAATATTTTTTCTTTTTTACTCGTGTTGGTTACGCTGTTTTTTTTATCTAAAATTTGATAAACAAATTTACAATAATTTTTAAAGTTGATTATTTTTTTTTATTATATTCAGTTACTAATGATCCATCGTTCACTCAAGTTGTGTCTCATTTTTCTTTATTTTCTCAAAGTTTTATTAAATTGTATAAGTTATTTAATTTCTTCAAAAATGAATTTTCAAAAATGCACAAACGATATCCAGTCATTGGTCGATCAAATACGATTCAATTCAACGCCAGCGTATCCAGAATTCTCTACATTTGTATTGAGGTTACGAACTTTTAGAAGTTTCCCTTCAAATACCGGACAGAATAAGTACAAACTCTCGGAATGTGGATTTTACTATATCAATCTCGACGATGCAGTTCAATGTCATTGGTGTGGAATAATTCTACATAGTTTTGAAATCGGTGATAATTGTTTTATAGAACATACTCGATTCTCACCTAGATGTTTATTTGTATTGTTAATGAAAGGAAATCAGTTTGTTCAAAAAGTCTTAAGTAAATATTGTAAGACACCATTTGTTAAATCATGTTTTTTTTTTTTTAAATGTTTATATATACATATATTTATTTATGCTGCTTATAATATTTGCTGTATTGGATAAAAAAAAAATAAAACAAAATTGAATTTTTTATCTTAAATGTGTTAATATTCGATTTAATATCTCGTGGACATACAGTCCTAGCGAATTAGTGCGTATAAAATAATTTAAAATGTTTTTCAGGTAACAGGTTAGTAAGTATATGTAAATTCCCTCTCTTGTACGCACTCATTGGCTATCTGTATGTTCACATTTTTTGCATTTTTTCCAAAGAGTTTTTTAGTATATAATATGACTGCAAAGGGAACAAACTAACAGTTCAATGTATAACTCCTAACAGTTATATCCCACTTCTTATTTATAAAAAAGATTTTTTTTTTTAAATTTGACAAAAATAACTTCACTATGAGTTCACCAATAATTGTCTGTAAGTCTACATTCGACATCCGGGCTTTTAACAAGAAAAGTATTACAGTTGGATTACTAATTAACAAGCAGATTTCAATTATTTTATTATTGGAATGTAAACTTACAAAGAAAATTATCACATTAAGTTTAGAAGAATGGTTTACACTGATGTCTGAACCTAATTACAATTCGATTATTAATAATTTAAATACTAGGGTGAGGCGTGTAAAAATCACCGATTCCTTTTCATATTCAACCAATGTTAAACAGAGTTTAATTACCCTACATCTAAATGAGGAATACATTACCTTGTCACATGTAGATTTGTACCGGCTTCGTCAATTACAGAATTTGATAGATTTGTACGTGGTAGACAAGCAAAAACGTTTAGCAAATTATCAAAATACTTTCAACACTGCATATGACCTAATTAAAAATGATGTCCGTGGTCTGCCGTCCACCTGTCAGAGGAACGAATTTACCAACCAATATATTCAAAATTATGATTTTAATTATTATAATCACCTACAGAACGATGACACATCATTTTTATATGAAATATTACAATTCCATTTTAACACATTGTCCGATATGATTTTGCAAGATTTAATATTATAAAAAAATATTTAAATATGTGTAATTATTGTTTTTTTTAATAAAACTTTTTTTTCAATAATAAACTTGCTTTTTATTTTAATTACATCTCACCTTAAATCATAAAGAATAGTTTTAATAAGTTTTAGTTTTAATATTATGTTTTAAAAGTAGATTAAATTTGTTAGTATTTCAAATTACTATAATTTTTAAATTTTTAAATTTTTTTCCAAACAACCATAGTTTATAGGTTTATGTTTTCCAAGACCTTTAAGTTTTGAATAAATAAAAACATACATGCATAATAATATTTTGTTTATTAAATGAAACTCATTTTTCAAATAATAATCAAACAGTCTTCTTGCTTTTAATAGTCTGACGCTTCGGATCGGTTAGTAATTTGTTAAATATGGTTTGTATTGTCTCATTAAGACCAGTATGAAGCGTTTGATCTTTTGATTCATCGCTCGTATACAATCTGACAGTAGCTTCACTGAACTTCCATCTACAAATTATTTTATTTTAAAAACAAAAGAAGTAAATAAAATCAGTGAAAAAAAAACAGATTAATCAATATTTTAAATTTAAACCAATGTATTTACCTGTCTTTTACTGGTACATTCTCAATGTTAGCAACCTTATAGTGACTAATTACCCAAAGCTCCGTGCCTTTTTCTTCAAAAGGTGTTTTTATTATAACTATGCCATACCCTTGTCTAAATGTCAGCGAATTAATTAACTCGACATCAAATTCTTCTGATCTCAAACGTTCGGTAACATTATCTCTGTATGATGCACTCTATAAAAAAAATTAAATTATTTATGCTATCATTATAAAAAATATTATTTATATTACCAATTTATTCTGCTTTTTTTTCATAGGTTTTTTTGCACTTGTTTTTTCTACAGCACGTTTTAGACCAGGTTTTGTTTTTGAAAAAGACGGTCTCATATCAATTGATTCGCTGAAATGTTCATTCTATGAAACATAAAACAAAGTATATTATTTTTTTACTGTTTTTTCATTATATATTTTCTAAGAATTATAACTAAAGCGTTGAGTAATGTATCCAATATGTTTTTAGTTACTATATAGTTTTTAAACTATGTCATAATCAGACATTTAATATTATTTTAAGAATTATAACCATAGCGTTGAGTAGTGTTATGACTGGTCTCCAATTAGCTTTGGCTATAAGATATTTACTAAGTAGTTACTAACCTCTGAATCAGTTGAAGCAATTGTACGGTACGACATCTTTTTTGGTAGTATCTCTGTTGAACTGAGCTGCTTGTCTTGGGATGAAATCTTGAAGACTGGTGAATATTAGTGAATTCCCTCTATCTTTTATACACAGATTTTGTCACTACTTCAATAATTTAAAATACAAATTTCTACAGCAATGACCTTACCGTACAGAAACCGGTCGAAACATGTACATAGAGGTACAACAAATTCACCAGTTCAACCAAGGTTCACAGCAAATTACATAATATGAATTTAAATTGTTGCTGACATAAATTGCTTTCATATTATAATTACACTATATGAATGTAAATTATTACAAACAGGATTTAAAATAATTTAAATTCATGCCAATGCCATTCTAATATGAAAACAGGATATGTAATATATTAAAATGTTTAAATTCATTCTAAAAAGTTTCTGATGTGAACAGAGAGGGGCTATTTTCGGGTATAAAACACAGAATTTCTTAGCTTATCGTCATCAGTTCAAGCAACAGCAGTCCACAGCAGTTCCAAGTGCAGTCAGCAGAACAGCATTCTTCGCCAACCAATAGTCAGCCAGCAGATTATCAGACCTCTTCAACAAGCCATCATACTTAGAAAAAAATACTTAAACTTCCACAAGCTATGTAAGTACTATTTTTATATTGTTATTTATTAAATTTAACATCTAAACTTCTTTTTTAAAATAAAAAAAAATATTTAAAAAAAAATAGAATAATAACAATGTATCGTTGTAATATAGCTTTATAATATTACTATGATCGTTATATCATGTAGGTATGACTTTAGATAGAAATTCTATCTTAAACCGTGTCACGAACTAAGATATATTATCTTAGTTCATGCTTATTATTGATAATTATTGTAACTTAACCTCAAAATCTGACTGCACTAGTACACACTGGTGTACACTGTCTGGCCGATACCGTGAATTTCAACGGTGTGGTCAATTATGTGATTATGGAATCAGTGTTCACGTGTAGTGTGTACTAGTAGTCAGAATATGGAAAAACGCTATTACGGTTATCTATAGTTAATCTAGACTACCAACAATCACAATATACATATTATAAATGTAGATTATGCATATGCAATTCTTTACATTCACTGCACAGAGAATTAGAATCTTTGAATATAGACTAAAACTAATATGTAATAATATAATTAGTCATTATTATATCATTGACAATAAATATATATATATATACGTATATTCAATGTTGTTTAATAAATAATCGTTTTAATTATTAGATTTATAAATTATACATTTCATACTAATGTATTTAGCTAAAATTATAGATAATGAATTTTTAGCATTCATATGATTATTGTTGTGAACAAATTTATTATTATGAAGGGCAGATTGTAGCATTAACGAAGATGATTGATGAAAATAAAATTAAAGAGAGATACGAATATAAAGATCTTAAAAAAAAAATTAGAAACCTCAAATTCACTATTTATTTAAGTAGAACAAATTCTAAACCAAATTTGTCTTATATAAAAGAGTTAAATGTTCACAAATTCTATGCATTTTTTCTAGAATAAAAAAAATGGAGTCAACAGCAATGATATGGGAAGAAATTAACAAGATATTGTGTCAACTCAAAGCAAACAACCGTAGCATGGATGAAGACAAAGTCGCTTTCAGAAAAAAATGAAAGATTTGAATATTAGGATTAAGAGGACGCCACACGGGCAAAAATACCGTACAAAAAGATGCCAATTTTGTTCCAATAATACGGCTTACTGAATGGTTTTAGAGCAAAATACCTTTATTAAAAGTTGTAGAGGAGAGTTATATCGGGTGCGTGTCGAGACTCGATTTTTGATATTTTAATTTTTTATACCAATTATTCACATGTAAAAAAGTGAAAAAAAGTGAAAACGCAAAACGATTTTATCGATTTTGAGAACGAAATATCAAAAATCGAGTCTCGACACGCACCCGATATAACTCTCCTCTACAACTTTTAATAAAGGTATTTTGCTCTAAAACCATTCAGTAAGCCGTATTATTGGAACAAAATTGTCATGTTTTACAGAAAAAAAATGTAATTGCGGCCGTCATGTGCTGCTGTCGTTTCTAGCGGCAGCGTTTGTCCCCTCCTAGCTCTGACATCCAGGCGCGCTCGCCGCCGGCAGGTCAAAACCGGTCTGTTATCGGCTGTCCGCGCTTCGCCCGTCGTTGCATTATTTTCATAATATTATTATTTACGTGAAATAAAACAAAATAAAATTATGCTCGATTTATTACGATGCCCGCAACCGTCCTTACATTACCGTATTGCCGTGACAGCCGCGGCTGTGAGAAAAAACTTATTTTTTTAGTTCCAAAAACACGGCTAACTGTTTTAGAGCAAAAAACCTATTATAAAAGTTATAGAGGAGAGTTAAATCTGTTAACGTATAGGACTAGATTTTTGATATTTTAATTTATTATACCAATTATTCACAAATCAAAAAGGTGAAAACAAAAAACAAAAAATATAAAACAATTTTATGGATTTTGAAAATGAAATATCGAAAATCGAGTCCTATATGTAATATAAAACATCTATAAAAACCTCTTCAAAAACATTTAAACATAATTTCTATATAATATATATTATTTATTGTGTTAAAAATATAAGAATTTATAAAAATTAAAACTTATCTCATCAAATAATTAGTGTATTAGATACCGTTACAACACAACTATACAAATTAGTAATTAGTAATTACTTTAAAAGTTTAAAAGTAACAAATAAAATAAAATTTATAAAGGTGATTTATTTCAATACAATTATACATATTATTATACATTTGATTATTTGAACAATTTTATTAAAGTATGTTATAAAATAAAATATATTTATACAATATATAAGTGTAGAAAAAAGTAAGATAAACAAAATACATACATACTAATTAATTCAGTGGCGTATTTAGGAATTTGTCATGGGGAGGGTCCAGATAATTTTCAGAACACAGAGCCACGGGGGACGAAGTCCCACACACCACCCATTTACTCTTTATTAAATAAAATATACCATATTTATAAGACAATATAAAATTTTTGAGTTTTTAATTATTAAATAATAATATGTACAAAACAAATTTAATAAAAAGCGTTTAAGTGGATCGGTGGATGTCCTTCTGCTGCTGTACAGTAGGTTACAAGTGGGTCAATGTATAATATAATGTATAATATAATGGATTGTATTAAACTTGAACTCAATGATATAATATCATAATATCATTGTATAAGAAAAACGATTCTGAGCGAAGACGGTTTGTCAGTCTGGATATTTTATATTATATAATAATATATATTAATATAATATAATAATACATAATATTAGGTATATAAATACGTACTAAGAACCTTTGCTAAATTAATTTTTAGAACTTGGGAGGATTATAACTTAAATTAATGTTTTCTATAGCTGATTTTTTTGCTTTCCTATTTAAATAACATTTTGCTATAAAATATAATAAAAAAACTATTATTATGACAACTAAATATTTGTTTACGTTTTATCAACAATAAGCGAATTTAGTAACATATCTTGTTGGTCTAATTGTTTATTTACTTTATTGAACGCTTTTTTATTAAATTTTATATATTTTATTTCATCGAAATGAATCGGTTTGGGATAGGCCTGATTTGAAAAATTGAATACATTACAGCATGAATCATTCGTAAGAGATAAGTCTACTGGAACTGAGAAATATGATGTTTGATTTAATACTTGTTCAGTTTTTAGTACACCTTTCGAGGTGTAAGCAGCAATACACCCAGACTTCAAGTATAACTTTCCAGAACTTTTAATTTTAATTTTTTGAGTGAAAGACTGTTTATTACAAATTATAGTAATTGTAGTGGGTTTTTCACATACAAAAAACCAATGATTTTTGAAAAATGAGGGATACCACATTTCTGTTTTGAATTCAGAGATATAAGTATAACATTGAGGTGGTTTAGTTACAGAATTTTTTAGTAATTCTGTTACACATTTGGGGTCCGTGTCACAATTATGTATAATTTCATTAAATCCACAAACAAATATTTTATCCACTTACAGTTATTTAAATCTGGCCAAATAAAATATTTGGTCATTATTTTGTCCATTAACAAATACATAGAATTTTTAGTCATATGGAGAAATTGACCATGTTCATTTATTGGAATGTAAATCGGTAATATGTAATAAACGTTGAAATTTTCTATAAGGCAAAGAGGAAATTTGAAAGAAAAAATAAATCTGTCAATTCAAATCAAAATTCGATCTTTAAATGCTTATAAAAAAAATTGTGCCTATGTATTTTTAATATTTTTCAATTGCTACTGTAACAATATATCAGGAGCCTTGTATTAAATTTTTACACTTTTAAGAAAAAAAAATTAAAAAAATTGAAAACTGAAAATGTCCGTAAACAGCTCAAAAAGAGTCGAAATATTTTCAAAATTGTACAGTGTATAGGAAATGCTAATCTGAACATTCAGTAAAATTATCATGTATCTATAGTTATTCGTTTTTGAATTACAACAAAATAAGGAAATCGCTACATGAGAAATCAAGTGAATATCCAATGTTGTAAAAATTTGAATTTCAAACGCTCATAAAAATTTAATTTGACTTTCCGGTAGAGATTTTTTTATTGATATTAACCAACAAATAAAATTTTATTAATATTTCTAGAAAAAAAAACTAAAAAACAATGAAAAATAAAAATGTCCCTAAACAGTTCAAAATAAATCAAAATATTTTGAAAATGTTATCGTGTATATAAAATGCAAATATAAACAACCAGTGAAAAATTTCATGTATCTACGGTCATTTGTTTTAAAGTTACACCAAAAACCAAATTCAATTTTCTGAAAAATCTATTTTGCGTAAAAATTGCTGTTTTTCCTTAATTTTTCTTTTGTTTTTCTTGGCGCTTTTGAAAAGTACTGAGAATTTTAAATTTTGACCTCCCCAATGCACCAACGATATTCACTTTCCAATCGAACAAGATACT